CCACCAGAAACTTTCTATCACCACTTTACTTATCTTGGCCGCCCGTGTGTTATTTAGCTTTTAGCTGGCTCCAAAGCCTACCATGCGTTATGCGTAACGGCGGGTGAATGACCAGCTGCCACTGGATTTTGTTACTATTATACTCCTAATTTATCCTATCACTCGTTGCTTAGGGAGCTAGAAGAGCTCTTGCCAGGAAAACCACAAAAGAAATAAACGGCGTGACAGTATAGTACTAAGTAACATCGCCACCTGGATGAACTCCGCTAGCACTTTCTTCGAAAATGAAACTTGGTGAGAAATAGCTCGAGTCATCAAAGAGCAGCACAATAGTGGGCATCAAACATGGAGCATAACAATCCCTCATGTTCGAGCAAGCTCAATCCCCAGAAGTAGAGTCGGAAATGCCCCACCAACGCAGACCAAAATGGATTTCATAACCCACAGCGATTTGCCAAATTGTGCTAAATTTTTGCATACTCATTTCTTTGTTAATAGTGACAGGCTGCTCTAGCTCACTGAGGTTGGAGACAAACCCTCAAAACATATAGAAAATCGGCTCTAGGTAATAAACCTTGCGATGCTTAGCTAAGAAACGTGTGTATTTTTCAGGCCAAAATGTGTCGACTGATCCGAAAAGTCTCCTGTGTTAGTCAGGTAGACCCGGCCCATGCTGCCTTGATATAAACTCGAGAACAACATAGAGGATTAAAAAATACTAAACTCTATATTCCTAGTTGTTTATTTGGCTCAGTATCCACTAAAAGTGGTACGTTTAGGCATTTAACGATGGGTTAATTATAAGCTCTTCTGAATTCCCATGCAGACATAATATTTCTTATTAGATTTCTAGCGTTTTCGTGCAAACTTATATCTTATTTGCGTATATTTGCCATATATGGATGCAAAGTTTACTTTCGGCCACCTACGCAGTCCTTATGTTTGCAGGGTATTACGAGCTAGTTAGAGCATTGCTGGACAGCTATGCCTATTTAGTACATATATCGCTTCGCTACGTTTTACGTTTTCTTTTCATTTTTATGTTATCTGCTTGCGAAGCAGAAAGCTATTTTGGCGAAAAGCATAATGGCCTTGTTGGTAGACCACTATTCAATTACAAATAACTAGCAAACTGCTGCACGTATTGCATTGCTTTTACTTTCAACGTAAGCAGCGGTTAAAGCTTGTCCAGATCAGTTTATTTTTGTGCTACTTTACACAGTATTCTAGCCTTAGAAAAGGGTTTCTTATTTTCTGAGATTTACTCAGGTTGAAATTCCGCGCCATAAGGCACTGTCGGCGCAAGAAAAGTTAGGCTATACGTGTTTGTTACTTTGTATATTTATTGAAGCACGCCACCTTAGTATGTCTCTTAACAAATTTTTTTTAATTTTCTTCTGCATTTCTTGAAATTATTTTTAAACTTTTCGTATCCCATATAATCCCGCCACTCTCATTTCTTTCACGTGCGTACCAAAAATTGTGACGACTAAGCGGGTCATAAATGTCCAATGAATTTAAAGTGAAGTTGTGGTGAATTGGATCCTGTTCCAAAGAAAAACAGCACAACTCCAGCTCTGCGCAGTTTTCACAACAAAAGAACAAGGAGCCCAATATCGCCCGAGGGAACCAGACAAATTTCAAGGTGGTCGCTTGCAACCCCATCAGCTGTTTACCAAACAATTCCAATGCATTTGTAATTGCCGACGAGGAATATATACTGGTATTTTGCCTACTTCCATGCAAGAGCAGAGAATTAATGTAAAGATTGATCTGAACCCTTAAGGGTGCAGCCTCTAGCCGGTCTAGAAAAATACCAATTTATTGTTTATTTACTTATTACTGCTCTTGCGTGTGTATCGTTAGCCATGGTACAGTCGGACGGATACGCAAATGCGAATAACTTACTCACTGGAATTGTCTTTTCATGGATTGCTTGTTTCTGTGTGGAAACAGCTTCCACTAGCACAGTTGCTGTACTTCATATAGACAGCTTTGCTGCCTTTCACTGGTGTTCGAACAATGGGTTAGGCGCCTTACTTTGCTGCAAGTGGATTTTAATACTTCTCTTACCTGGAGCTTTCTGTGGGCATATCATTGAGCCGTTACTGGACACGAAAGCAATTTCGCTTGACAATAGCACCAGTGAAAGGGTTTTGTTTCCCTTCTTGGGACCTACTGTGTCTTTACGTGGTCTGAATTCAGGAGTTTGGCCCTATTACTGTGATATCTTACCCATCGTATAAAATGCATTATTGCAAACTTCGTTGGATCCCACTTGGTGTGAGGAATCACATTTGCGCCTGATGGGACAAATTTAGCATCAAGGATAAACTACACTCTCCAACTGGCATGTCAAGTGGGAATAATGGACAATAAGTCTTCAGGCCGGGACTAGTATACCACACGTGGAACACCAAGTTCCATTAAATCGAAATACTTACACGTCTGCGCAATCCCTCAACCAACGTTTCCTGGATATTTTACCTCAAGACCGGCTTCAACGCTGAATGGTGGACTTGGACTAGGCGATTCGGTTAGCCGGTGCTGTAAATTAGAGCTCATGTGACTGCGGATATTCCAGTGTAGATTTGATCCGTAAGGTATATTGCTGGTTGTACATTACCTATCAAGCGGATTGCAGGCAGTGTGCCAGGAGGTGATGGGTTTTCGCCTGGCAAGCGCTTCCTTTATTTGAGAATAAATTATTTATTTATTTATTTATGGGAAGAGGTAAGTTGAGCATACTAAAAAGGTGCTAGCCAAACAACGCTTAACAGTAGTCGGAGGGCCGCCAGAAAGCAGGAGCGAAGTTGCAGTGGAGTAGAACATAGACACGAGGATGAATTAGTGCGGAGCAATGAGCGCAAGCGTACAATAATGGTAAGATTAACAACGGAGCGAAATAACAGCGGAGGCCACGGATGAGGGGAAAATAAGCGCAACAGAGAGCTGGAAGTAAGTAGCAGAGAGCAATGCCGCTGCCAAACCATGATCGAAAATGGCACGAACATATTGGAGTAGTAGGAGCGCAGAAGACCGTTCAGCTAAGAATAGTTTAGTCGGCACGACCGTTCTAACTATACCAATACTAATTCCTTGTTGGTACCGAATAAGCGAAACACCCAGTCGGTTCACCTGAACATATCAAAACACCACCTCCATATTAAGGGCCGAAGCCTACTAGTGTCACCCCAATAGGAACAGCGCAATAACCAGAAGGATCTACTCAACACTCCCAGCCCAATGCTACGTCAACCCCTCCTAAGGAACTCGGGGTTCGCTGCCGGTATAGGCACAATGTCACAAAGGCAACGACCATCTAGACATTTCAACTGTATGAGTGTCACAAAAGCTGCACACGCCTGGCCTTATGCACCCCATGCACCCGTACCTCGTCCACCATATGCCATCACTCCGCGAATCGCCCAGATTTCTCTCCTATTCCCTATTCTCTGGAACGCTGGAAGCTGCGGGCCACTGTCCAAGCATGCCTGGATCCAGATACGGCGTTGTAGCGCCTATCTTGATTACAGACCATGATGTAACTGACGCCGTCCAGCCTGCTCCAGCTACTTGGATAACGTCTTTGACCCAATGCATTACACCTGATCACGTGCCTGATCCCGCAATTCAAATTTATACTCTAGCGACTACATCTTACACTTCTCTCCAACACACTATCCCTGGCCTCCGAAAACTTTTCACTTTATCTTCCGCCGGTCCACCTATCATGTCCTTTTAAGAATGCTTACAAATGAAACGCTCAACACAACTGGATACGTCTGGTGCGATGTTGGCTGGATACCACATCCAGACAAATCCAACCAACACGTATACAGTCCTCCTTTCAATACTCTATCCATCAAAAACAAACCGCATCTCTTTCCCCTAATCCTTCTGTTCAACCCGCATGTGGTGCTGAAAACTGAAACGCGGCAAGCAGCTGATACGTCTGATGCGTCGCTGTACATTTCTGAGTGCACGGCTTTCTGTAGCGGACGCATCCATCAACGAGGCAACGGTTGTCTTATATCCATCAGCGCTGGATTCCACACATCCCTTTTCCAAAACTTACTACTTGGAACTCGCGAAAGTTCTCTCTGGATTCAGGCCATAGGAGGATAAATTGACATCCTGAGAGGCTGCATATACAATCCACCGCATTCTACTAGTACTGGAGTTGTGGCAATGGCTAGGCTCTTTCACGAACTTTTATTCCTCCCCGCTTGTCATAAAATAATCGGTGGAGACTTAAATATGCGATACCTCTCTTAACTTCTTCAAGCAGAACCATCAAGGTATAGGGCTTTCGTACCTATTGTCTTCACGTATGAGTGGACTCAGTAAGTGCGCGCCCCCACAAGGTAGTCCAACACCCTGGACCTAATATTTACCAACAGTGTCCCGCAGGCAATTTCCAATGTGTTGGATAGCATTCCAGGTAGTGACCACAAGGTTGTGAGGCTATCATACAATCTTACCAAATTCCCTCAACACGTTAACCCGATTTGCACCGCCTTAAGGCCTTTCTAGCACATGAATTGGAAGGCCTCCTCACTTCTCCGTGCCGCCCATTGAGACATTTTCTTCCTGGCAAGTGCCCTGTACAATAACTTTATGGCTTGGCACGCTATCCTAACCCCGCTACAGCGCTCGGTCAGGAGACCTTGAAATTCCGATAACGCCGTCATGTGTAAATGTACCACTAAGCTTAAGAAAATGCTCTCTCAATAAGAGAATACTAAGAATTTTTACCTCATAATTGGTAGGAACGAAGTCCCAGTCGGATGGTGCAACTCGCAGGGTCATTAAGATACTTTAGCTGAGCGCACGGCGCTGTGTAGTACGAACGAGGCTACCACTTGTACAACACGTGTAACATCGCCACAGCTGCAAAGATTTGCCGCTTAACTTACTCGTGCTTCCGGATAATAGGGTCATCGTTGACATAGCAGAGCTGCGGGGTTTCCTTCACAAACACTTCAGCGATGCTTCCATCAGTACCAATTCGTCAACGCCAACTAAATAAATAAATAAATAAATAGTATATTCTCGGTAAAACGAGACACACCTGTGAAGGCGTGATCAAATATGCATCCAAGCCCCCCCCCCCCCCCCCCCCCCCCCCCCCCCCCCCCCCCCCCCCCCCCCCCCCCCCCCCCCCCCCCCCCCCCCCCCCCCCCCCCCCCCCCCCCCCCCCCCCCCCCCCCGCCCCCCCCCCCCCCCCCCCCCCCCCCCCCCCCCCCCCCCCCCCCCCCGCCCCCCCCCCCCCCCCCCCCCCCCCCCCCCCCCCCCCCCCCCCCGCCCCCCCCCCCCCCCCCCCCCCCCCCCCCCCCCCCCCCCCCCCCCCCCCCCCCCCCCCCCCCCCCCCCCCCCCCCCCCCCCCCCCCCCCCCCCCCCCCCCGCCCCCCCCCCCCCCCCCCCCCCCCCCCCCCCCCCCCCCCCCCCCCCCCCCCCCCCCCCCCCCCCCCCCCCCCCCCCCCCCCCCCCCCCCCCCCCCCCCCCCCCCCCCCCCCCCCCCCGCCCCCCCCCCCCCCCCCCCCCCCCCCCCCCCCCCCCCCCCCCCCCCCCCCCCGCCCCCCCCCCCCCCCCCCCCCCGCCCCCCCCCCCCCCCCCCCCCCCCCCCCCCCCCCCCCCCCCCCCCCCCCCCCCCCCCCCCCCCCCCCCCCCCCCCCCCCCCCCCCGCCCCCCCCCCCCCCCCCCCCCCCCCCCCCCCCCCCCCCCCCCCCCCCCCCCCCCCCCCCCCCCCCCCCCCCCCCCCCCCCCCCCCCCCCCCCCCCCCCCCCCCCCCCCCCCCCCCCCCCCCCCCCCCCCCCCCCCCCCCCCCCCCCCCCCCCCCCCCCCCCCCCCCCCCCCCCCCCCCCCCCCCCCCCCCCCCCCCCCCCCCGCCCCCCCCCCCCCCCCCCCCCCCCCCCCCCCCCCCCCCCCCCCCCCCCCCCCCCCCCCCCCCCGCCCCCCCCCCCCCCCCCCCCCCCCCCCCCGCCCCCCCCCCCCCCCCCCCCCCCCCCCCCCCCCCCCCCCCCCCCCCCCCCCCCCCCCCCCCCCCGCCCCCCCCCCCCCCCCCCCCCCCCCCCCCCCCCCCCCCCCCCCCCCCCCCCCCCCCCCCCGCCCCCCCCCCCCCCCCCCCCCCCCCCCCCCCCCCCCCCCCCCCCCCCCCCCCCCCCCCCCCCCCCCCCCCCCCCCCCCCCCCCCCCCCCCCCCCCCCCCCCCCCCCCCCCCCCCCCCCCCCCCCCCCCCCCCGCCCCCCCCCCCCCCCCCCCCCCCCCCCCCCCCCCCCCCCCCCCCCCCCCCCCCCCCCCCCCCCCCCCCCCCCCCCCCCCCCCCCGCCCCCCCCCCCCCCCCCCCCCCCCCCCCCCCCCCCCCCCCCCCCCCCCCCCCCCCCCCCCCCGCCCCCCCCCCCCCCCCCCCCCCCCCCCCCCCCCCCCCCCCCCCCCCCCCCCCCCCCCCCCCCCCCCCGCCCCCCCCCCCCCCCCCCCCCCCCCCCCCCCCCCCCCCCCCCCCCCCCCCCCCCCCCCCCCCCCCCCCCCCCCCCCCCCCCCCCCCCCCCCCCCCCCCCCCCCCCCCCGCCCCCCCCCCCCCCCCCCCCCCCCCCCCCCCCCCCCCCCCCCCCCCCCCCCCCCCCCCCCCCCCCCCCCCCCCCCCCCCCCCCCCCCCCCCCCGCCCCCCCCCCCCCCCCCCCCCCCCCCCCCCCCCCCCCCCCCCCCCCCCCCCCCCCCCCCCCCCCCCCCCCCCCCCCCCCCCCCCCCCCGCCCCCCCCCCCCCCCCCCCCCCCCCCCCCCCCCCCCCCCCCCCCCCCCCCCCCCCCCCCCGCCCCCCCCCCCCCCCCCCCCCCCCCCCCCCCCCCCCCCCCCCCCCCCCCCCCCCCCCCCCCCCCGCCCCCCCCCCCCCCCCCCCCCCCCCCCCCCCCCCCCCCCCCCCCCCCCCCCCCCCCCCCCCCCCCCCCCCCCCCCCCCCCCCCCCCCGCCCCCCCCCCCCCCCCCCCCCCCCCCCCCCCCCCCCCCCCCCCCCCCCCCCCCCCCCCCCCCCCCCCCGCCCCCCCCCCCCCCCCCCCCCCCCCCCCCCCCCCCCCCCCCCGCCCCCCCCCCCCCCCCCCCCCCCCCCCCCCCCCCCCCCCCCCCGCCCCCCCCCCCCCCCCCCCCCCCCCCCCCCCCCCCCCCCCCCCCCCCCCCCCCCCCCCCCCCCCCCCCCCCCCCCCCCCCCCCCCCCCCCCCCCCCCCCCCCCCCCCCCCGCCCCCCCCCCCCCCCCCCCCCCCCCCCCCCCCCCCCCCCCCCCCCGCCTCCCCCCCCCCCCCCCCCCCCCCCCCCCCCCCCCCGCCCCCCCCCCCCCCCCCCCCCCCCCCCCCCCCCCCCCCCCCCCCCCCCCCCCCCCCCCCCCCCCCCCCCCCCCCCCCCCCCCCCCCCCCCCCCCCCCCCCCCCCCCCCCCCCCGCCCCCCCCCCCCCCCCCCCCCCCCCCCCCGCCCCCCCCCCCCCCCCCCCCCCCCCCCCCCCCCCCCCCCCCCCCCCCCCCCCCCCCCCCCCCCCCCCCCCCCCCCCCCCCCCCCCCCCCCCCCCCCGCCCCCCCCCCCCCCCCCCCCCCCCCCCCCCCCCCCCCCCCCCCCCCCCCCCCCCCCCCCCCCGCCCCCCCCCCCCCCCCCCCCCCCCCCCCCCCCCCCCCCCCCCCCCGCCCCCCCCCCCCCCCCCCCCCCCCCCCCCCCCCCCCCCGCCCCCCCCCCCCCCCCCCCCCCCCCCCCCCCCCCCCCCCCCCCCGCCCCCCCCCCCCCCCCCCCCCGCCCCCCCCCCCCCCCCCCCCCCCCCCCCCCCCCCCCCCCCCCCCCCCCCCCCCCCCCCCCCCCCCCCCCCCCCCCCCCCCCCCCCCCCCCCCCCCCCCCCCCCCCCCCCGCCCCCCCCCCCCCCCCCCCCCCCCCCGCCCCCCCCCCCCCCCCCCCCCCCCCCCCCCCCCCCCCCCCCCCCCCCCCCCCCCCCCCCCCCCCCCCCCCCCCCCCCGCCCCCCCCCCCCCCCCCCCCCCCCCCCCCCGCCCCCCCCCCCCCCCCCCCCCCCCCGCCCCCCCCCCCCCCCCCCCCCCCCCCCCCCCCCCCCGCCCCCCCCCCCCCCCCCCCCCCCCCGCCCCCCCCCCCCCCCCCCCCCCCCCCCCCCCCGCCCCCCCCCCCCCCCCCCCCCCCCCCCCCCCCCCCCCCCCCGCCCCCCCCCCCCCCCCCCCCCCCCCCCCCCCCCCCCCCCCCCCCCCCGCCCCCCCCCCCCCCCCCCCCCCCCCCGCCCCCCCCCCCCCCCCCCCGCCCCCCCCCCCCCCCCCCCCCCCCCCCCCCCCCCCCCCCCCCCCCCCCCCCGCCCCCCCCCCCCCCCCCCCCCCCCCCCCCCCCCCCCCCCCCCCCCCCCCCCCCCCCGCCCCCCCCCCCCCCCCCCCCCCCCCCCCCCCCCCCCCCCCCCGCCCCCCCCCCCCCCCCCCCCCCCCCCCCCCCCCCCCCCCCCCCCCCCCCCCCCCCCCCCCCCCGCCCCCCCCCCCCCCCCCCCCCCCCCCCCCCCCCCCCCCCCCCCCCCCCCCCCCCCCCCCCGCCCCCCCCCCCCCCCCCCCCGCCCCCCCCCCCCCCGCCCCCCCCCCCCCCCCCCCCCCCCCCCCCCCCCCCCCCCCCCCCCCCCCCCCCCCCCCCCCCCCCCCCCCCCCCCCCCCCCCCCCCCCCCGCCCCCCCCCCCCCCCCCCCCCCCCCCCCCCCCCCCCCCCCCCCGCCCCCCCCCCCCCCCCCCCCCCCCCCCCCCCCCCCCCCCCCCCCCCCCCCCCCCCCCCCCCCCCCCCCCCCCCCCCCCCCCCCCCCCCCCGCCCCCCCCCCCCCCCCCCCCCCCCCCCCCCCCCCCCCCGCCCCCCCCCCCCCCCCCCCCCCCCCCCCCCCCCCCCCCCCCCGCCCCCCCCCCCCCCCCCCCCCCCCCCCCCCCCCCCCCCCCCCCCCCCCCCCCCCCCCCCCCCCCCCCCCCCCCCCCGCCCCCCCCCCCCCCCCCCCCCCCCCCCCCCCCCCCCCCCCCCCCCCCCCCCCCCCCCCCCCCCCCCCCCCCCCCCCCCCCCCCCCCCCCCCCCCCCCCCCCCCCCCCCCCCCCCCCCCCCCCCCCCCCCCCCCCCCCCCCCCCCCCCCCCCCCCCCCCCCCCGCCCCCCCCCCCCCCCCCCCCCCCCCCCCCCCGCCCCCCCCCCCCCCCCCCCCCCCCCCCCCCCCCCCCCCCCCCCCCCCCCCCCCCCCCCCCCCCCCCCCCCCCCCCCCCCCCCCCCCCCCCCCCCCCCCCCCCCCCCCCCCCCCGCCCCCCCCCCCCCCCCCCCCCCCCCCCCCCCCCCCCCCCCCCCGCCCCCCCCCCCCCCCCCCCCCCCCCCCCCCCCCCCCCCCCCCCCCCCCCCCCCCCCCCCCCCCCCCCCCCCCCCCCCCCCCCCCCCCCCCGCCCCCCCCCCCCCCCCCCCCCCCCCCCCCCCGCCCCCCCCCCCCCCCCCCCCCCCCCCCGCCCCCCCCCCCGCCCCCCCCCCCCCCCCCCCCCCCCCCCCCCCCCCCCCCCCCCCCCCCCCCCCCCCCCCCCCCCCCCCCGCCCCCCCCCCCCCCCCCCCCCCCCCCCCCCCCCCCCCCCCCCCCGCCCCCCCCCCCCCCCCCCCCCCCCCCCCCCCCCCCCCCCCCCCCCCCCCCCCCCCCCCCCCCCCCCCCCCCGCCCCCCCCCCCCCCGCCCCCCCCCCCCCCCCCCCCCCCCCCCCCCCCCCCCCCCCCCCCCCCCCCCCCCCCCCCCCCCCCCCCCCCCCCCCCCCCCCCCCCCCCCCCCCCCCCCCCCCCCCCCCCCCCCCCCCCCCCCCCCCCCCCCGCCCCCCCCCCCCCCCCCCCCGCCCCCCCCCCCCCCCCCCCCCCCCCCCCCCCCCCCCCCCCCCCCCCCCCCCCCCCCCCCCCCCCCCCCCCCCCCCCCCCCCCCCCCCCGCCCCCCCCCCCCCCCCCCCCCCCCCCCCCCCCCCCCCCCCCCCCCCCCCCCCCCCCCCCCCCCCCCCCCCCCCCCCCCCCCCCCCCCCCCCCCCCCGCCCCCCCCCCCCCCCCCCCCCCCCCCCCCCCCCCCCCCCCCCCCCCCCCCCCCCCCCCCCCCCCCCCGCCCCCCCCCCCCCCCCCCCCCCCCCCCCCCCCCCCCCCCCCCCCCCCCCCCGCCCCCCCCCCCCCCCCCCCCCCCCCCCCCCCCCCCCCCCCCCCCCCCCCCCCCCCCCCCCCCCCCGCCCCCCCCCCCCCCCCCCCCCCCCCCCCCCCCCCCCCCCCCCCCCCCCCCCGCCCCCCCCCCCCCCCCCCGCCCCCCCCCCCCCCCCCCCCCCCCCCCCCCCCCCCCCCCCCCCCCCCCCCCCCCCCCCCCCCCCCCCCCCCCCCCCCCCCCCCCCCCCCCCCCCCCCCCCCCCCCCCCCCCCCCCCCCCCCCCCCCCCCCCCCCCCCCCCCCCCCCCCTGTCG